GTGTGCGTGTGCGTGTGCGTGTGTGTGTGTGTGTGTGTGTGTGTGTGTGTGTATTCCAATTCAGAATCAGGCAATTCTTCTTTATCTCTCTGGGAAAGTCACAAACGTGGTCAAGTTCTTAGGCTAAGCGGAGACCCTCCTTTAGCAAGAGTCTAAATGTAGCCCACTCCTGAAGTAGTTCCATGATTTCCTATACAAAACGCAGCATTAAGGTGGACTGCTGGAAGCTGGCTTCTTGAACAGCTGGAAGAGCAGCATTCTTTGCTTCCAGATGGTGCATCTGCAAAGCCTCACTGTTCTCCAGGTTTATAGGGAACCTCTGGGGTCACTGCACCCAAACTGGAGAGGTACTTTTTGCCTTCCATCTCTAGTCGTCTTTTCCCAAATCTTTCAACAGCCTATCCTTTTGACTTAGAATTCTAAACTCCATAAAGTCTCTTTAACCCCCTCTCCTCAGCTCACATGCTTCAACTTTCAGAAAAGTAATGTGCTTGTATGGAAGGAAAATGCAGGAGTCGGCCCCAGGAGCCCCCCCAGCTCCCCACAGAGTTTCGAAAATGACTAGAAGGGCAATGTGCAGTGGAGACAAAGACCCCCCCAGGCTCCTGGATTTGGCGCCGATCGGCATTTTCACCTGCTGCATGCAGTCCGTGAAAACCATCCGCATTCTTCAGCTCCCTTGTCGCAAGACGACAACTGGAGGAGGGAAACTCTTCTCCTCAGGGCTGGCCTTCAACAGATCTATTTCAGAGCACCATTTTCTGTCTCCTAGCTTGAGTGACCAGCAGGAGTTTAAATTCCAGGAACAGTGAAACCGGGGGTGCCACCAGGGCTCAGAGATGCCCAGCATGACTGTGGCACATTTTTTTTAACCTGGTTGATGTGCCTTGGGCAGCTGCCCTGCTGTTGGGGGGGTCTCTGTCCCCTGTTCCTGTCCTGACCCTCAGATGTCCCCACTGAAGCATTACAGAAGCACAGCCTTCGTACCCGCATCTCAGTGACACACCTCCTTTGCACCTTCCCATCTCTGCCACGGGGAGGGAACTGCCAAGTTCTGGCAACACTCACAGCCTCCGAGATCTCGGGCATCAAATCTGAGACAGACTCTCGCCGATAGGGAAATCTGCCTTAGCCATTCTGGTCACTCAAATGGACACTTTGCAAGCAAATTTCTCTGTCCAAGAAGAGAAGAGGATATTCCAAAGACAAAAATACTTTTCCACTGTTTACTGTTCTGTAAAAGTGGGGGCCCCGGAGAAACAGAATACCAGAGAAACTTGGGAGTTCAGAACTTGGGAGGCCTCACCAACACCAGAAAGAAAATGGGAAATCTCATTTCTGTGACTTTCAAAACCCAAATAGGTACGCGCCTCCTTAGCTTTTAAGGAAATAGAAATTAAAAGCACAACGAGTGTTGTAGAAATGAAGAAATTAGAGTACTCAGACATGGCTCGTGGGAATTTGAAGTATTGCAACATTTTTAGAAGAGAGTGGTGTTTTGAGAAAGAATAGACCTAAAGTTATCAAATGATCCAGCATTTCTACTTTTAGATATATATTCAAGAGAAAGGGGAAATATGTCCGTATAAAGACTTGCATATAAACATTGACAGAGCCAGGAAGCAGCCAGATAGCTCTTGCTGCTGAGCCTGATGACCTGAGTTTGACCTTAGGACCCACATGGTAGAAGGAGAAAATCAACTCTCAAAAGTTGTCCTCTGACCTTTACATGTGGGTAGTGACGTGTCCCAAACAAATAAGCAAATATAAAAACTAAAATGGACTAAAAACATTTGCAGAGCCAACCTTTATTGTTTCAACTTTCATACGTGTGTGTGTGTGTGTGTGTGTGTGTGTGTGTGTGTGTGTGTGTGGTTGGAGAGATGGTTCAGCAATTAAAAGCACTTGCTCTTCCAGAGGTCCCCAGTTCAGTTCCCACCTTCTACATCAAGTGGCTTACAACTGTCTGTAACTCCAGCTCTAGGGCTGGCCTCCCCAGGCACCTGCATGCGCATGCTCGCATGCAGACATAAAAACCTGTGACGGGCCAGGCAGTGGCGCACGCCTTTAATCCCATCACTCAGGAGGCAGAGCCAGGCAGATCTCTGTGAGTTCGAGGCCAGCCTGGTCTACAGAGCAAGATCCAGGACAGGCACCAA